ATGCCTCCGGACCCTGCGCCACCGGAGCCCGGGAGGGGAAGTGCCCGGCCGGGGGCGCAGGGTCCAGAGGCACGGGGGCTGCCCGAAGCCCGAGCGCTACCGGCTTCACGGTTTGCCGGGCAACTTCCAGACCCTGCGCCCCCAGCTGGGCGCTTCCCCTCCCGGGCTCCAACTGCACTGGGGAAGCGCCGGCCGGGGGCGCAGGGTCTGGAGTCTGCCCGGCAAACCGTGAAGCCGGTAGCGCTCGGGCAGCCCTTTTCGCGTGGCTGGGAGTGGGAGGGAGGAGGGGCGGGGTTGGGGCGGGGAAGGGGTGGAGTTGGGGCGGGGCTTGGGTGGGAAATGGGCGGGGCCAGGGCCCCGTGGAGGGTCCTCTTTTTTTATTTGTTAAATATGGTAACCCTAGCCATGAAGAAGAGTAACACGATAACCTAGGCTAGGAGGCAGGCTTTTCCAGCCTCTTGCTTTATAACAGGGGAGGGGTTATTTCTTGCGCCTTATGCAGTGGCTAGCGCACAGGACTGCAAATCAGCTGATCTGGTGACTGCCTCTTTGGGGGAGCGTGGTCTGGTCTCCAGGGGATCTCTGTCTTAGATTTATTTGTTTGCTCTCCTTGGCTGAAAGGGGCTAGCTGAGGTCCGTACTCTGTAATGAATGTCAGACATCTTCTGGCTGGGAATCAGCACTGGGTAGGCCCAGCACAGCTGGCTCATCCTGACTGCCTCCTTTCTGTCTCCCTTCCCAGTGAACTGGACACTGTGGATCCCAACTCCTGCTCCCAGATCAATTGCTACAGACTCCCCTTTCTCCTGAAGAAGATTCTGGCTTTCCTCACCAAACCGCTGGTAAGTTACATCTTCTTCCCTTCAGTGCCGGAGAGAGGGCACGTTTCACACTCACAGCTGGCTCGGGGGGGACTTAGGCCCCGATCCTCAGAAGGGCTAGGCACCTAATTCTCATTGACATCAATGGGAGTCAGGCATGTAAATTCCTTTGAGGTCTGGTTCTGCTCCCACTCCCACTAGCTCTATACCAGTGCAACTCCACTGGCTTCAGTGCAGTTACTCCTGATTTACACAGGGCGAGTGAAAAGCAAGCAGGCCCCCAGAATATAACCATCTCCTTCTGGGTAAGACGTAGTGTATTGATACAGTTTGGGATAGTTGCTTGAGGAAAGGGTCAACATGGTAACCCGGCTTAGAGCCCAGCTTGTAACCTTACATCCCGAGTTAGCTCACTGCAGCGTTAGTCCTGAATATCAGTGTGAACCACGAACCATCACACCAGACACTGAGTGCAGGAGACGCCTAGGAACAAACTAATAACTCAAAAGTGTTGGTGAGCAAGTCAGCACATGGACACTAGGGAGAGACACGGGGGTGGATCCATGGGGCCTTGGAGTCCAGTGAACACTCCTTGGAAAATCTAAACATTGGGAGTGGTCCTCTCCCCATATAGGACTGTGCATAGCCTCCATAACCTTCAGATCTGAGTTCCCCACAACCCCCTGGGAGGCAGAGCAGGGATCCCCATTGTAGGTCAGCTGAGACAAGTGACTTGCTCAAGGACACGCTAGAAGTTGGTGACCAAGCTGGGATTTGAACTTAGCTCTTCCAACATCCCAAGCCTCTGGGCTAGCCTTCCTCTCTTTGTGAGGCTCTTTAAACATTAATGTTGTTTTTCTGATTGGTTTAAATACTCAGACGGTCAAATCTGCCCTTGGGCAGAGGCCTCGCACTAAGCTATCCCGGGGCTAAAGTGCGACTTATGTGAGTAATAGGGTTTGTGCTGGCCTTATGCACAAGGTGAATTTCACCCATCAGGCAGGATGTAAACTGCTTCCCATTCTCTTCCAAGCCACAGCCTTAAGGGAAGAGAGTCTCTCTAGTGGCTAGAGCAGGCACGTAGGAGTCAGGATTCCTGAGTATTATTCCCAGTTCTGCAGCTGATCACTGTGCCTCAGTTTCCCCATCAGCAAAGTGGGGATAACGATACATGCTGACATTGAGATCCTCAGCTGTAACACGCTGTGCAAGCACAGCAGAATGTCAGTGTTAGTATTTTGATTTTGCAGAATTAAATGTTTGGGAAAGATACATGGAGTTAGATCATTCATAATTAGGGCCCTATTAAATTCACAGCCATGAAAAATACATCACGGTCCGTGAAATCTGGTCTCCCGGCCAGCAGCTGCCGCTCTCCAGCTGCCCAGCTCTGAAGGCAGTGCCTCCACCAGCAGCAGCACAGAAGTGAGGGTAGCAGAACCCCCCCTACAATAACCTTGCGATCCCCCCTTCCTCCCACAACTCCTTTTTGGGTCAGGACCCCTATAATTACAACACTGTGAAATTTTAGATTTAAATAGCTGAAATCATGAAATTTATGATTTTTAAAATCCGATGGCCAGGAAATTGACCAAACTGGACTGTGAATTTGGTAGGGCCCTATTTATAATCTTCGGTTTTGTCACTAAAAGATTGTGCCGATGGTAAGTTTGTTAGCGGATCACTTGCAGTGTCTGTGCTTGCTTGATAAAATGTGCATCCTGGCGTGTGCCACATCAGTGCCTCTGGAGCTGTTTGCGCATAACTCCTTCCTCTGAAAACCTTTCTCGACGATCTGACCTGATTCTGGCTTCCCAATGGTGATGCTCATTGACGTTTTTATGTTTCTTTTCAGTTCCCTCGATTCTCCAGTTATTTGAATGCACTGTGTGGAGTGTGGTAAGAGGCCGTTTTTTTTCAACTTTAATAACAGCATTCTGTTCAAGTAACTATAGAAAATGGTGATTTCACAGTACAGTTTATAGCCATGTAGAAGTGGAAAGATCTTTCCAGCATAAGTTCCCTGTTTCAGAATGACTTTGTTGTGCAGACATCTGATCGCATTGTTCCTGAGAAATCGACGTGCATTGTGACATATGTTCTTTCATAGAATCAACAGGGATGGATGAATGGATTGTAAATACTTTTTAACCAGTTGAGAAGTTGCTAGTGCCACCTGTCGGTACAATTGAAAGATTGCAAGTGATCCTTAGAGCAAACATAGAAATTGCTAATATCCGCTGCTGGGAAGAATAGTCCTGTAAACAATTATTGCTGATTTGCATAACATCACAGAAGGGCATGATGGGAGGCGGTATAAACAACTAACAGTTATTACTCTAGGATCGGTGTTAATTACGTCACATCAAAGTTCCTATTGTGGCTTCATTCTGAATTGACGTGTTAATGTTAAAAGCAGCTGCCATAACACACAACGCAGTCTAGAAAAGATGGGGGTTGATTGGAAGAGAAACTGAGGCAAGGTTGGGTGTGTGGGGGGAATTCAACAGAGAGAAAAAAAATTAAATTCTCAAAGCCAAATATAGGGACATTTCTGATTTGAGGCGTGTTTTCTAATTAAAAACCAAGGAATCCACGGGGTAGAAGAGTGTAAAGAAAATGGACCAAATCTTATCCCCGTGTAGCTCTCCCATTGGTGAATAAGGCCACACCGGTTCCTTGTACGGCGTGTGTGTTATAAAGCGCATGGCAGACAGAAGGACAGCTCTGTTGTGTAAATAGGCACACCTCTCTTGACGTCAGTGCAGCTAGGCGGGCACTAGTCCAGAATGTCTACTCCAGTGAGGGGAAAACATGGACCCCCCCCCCTCCCCCGCGCCGCCATGACGTCTGGGTGAAAGAGTCTGATAAGGGCTGAAGCTTCCTGTGGGCTAGAAAGACCCTGGCTGAGAATCGGTGAGCAGCGGCTGTGTTCACCTGGTCAGTCTCAATGACACTTTCAGCTCAACAAAGCATTTGCGCACAGGCTTATGTCAATGAGACCAAAGCCTGGTCTATGCTACAGAGTTAGGTTGGCCTAAAATGCTGCTCCAACCGATGTAACGTGCCCACTACACCGACTGAATAGCTCCACCTCCGCGAGAAGCGTAGTGCTTAGGTCGATGCAGTGAGGTCGACCCGGCGTCAGTGTAGACGCTGCGTTGCTTACATCGACTGGTGCTGCCTTTCAGAAGCCGTCCCACAATGCCCCACACTGACAGTGAAATCGGTGCAAGTGCAACTCCTGGTGAAAATGCGCGCTGCCGACGCAAGAAGCAGAGTGTGGACGTGCAAAAGCAATTCAGTGACTGCGGTGGCTATACATCAACGTAACTTAGGCTATGTCGCCACTAGCACTTTTGTCAGTCACGGGTGTGATAAAAACCAATCCCCTGACTGACAGAAGTTTCACCGACAGAAGCACCAGTGTCTCTAGTGTAGACATAGCCTTAGGTAGACTTAATTGTGTAGTGTGGACTTGCCCTGAAGCACATGCTTGAAGTTCAACGTGCATAGGTGCTTTGCCAGATAGAGATCCTAGGCTCAGGGTCTCAGAGTTGAAGAGCAAAATATGTAAGCAGATCCCCATGCATGTAGACTCCTGCTCCTATATGGATCCCTTCTGCTTTCACTGCCGCTCTGGGCAGGCTATGAGCTCCTTGCAGGATCGGGGCCCTGGTGATGATGAGTGATGATTTTAAAATTATAGCCCTGCAATGTCGATGTGCTACTTAGTTTCCTGGAAATTAAAGGACCCAATAGATTTCCGCAGGAGCGACACAGTTCTGATCCAGAGCCACATTTTTTTTATCCCCTTCAAATTTCAGGGCTATCTGAATCAAGGGTCTTGGTTCAGGCCATTGCAGAAACAGGGGCCAGCTATGAAATTTGGACCCCAGTTATTCTCCTGGGCCCATTCCAAATTCCCACATATTTGAAGTGTGTTTTGTGTTAAAAGAGAGTTATGTTGGCTGGCGTATCTAGAGGGGGGTGTCAGTGTGTTAGAAACCAGATGGCGACTGCATTGTGCTATATCGATATTTCATCCGTTCACACACCACCCATATGGAGACACTGGGTCCGAATTTGGTAGTGAACCAGTCACCTGCTCACTCAATAATCTCTGTCATTTTCTTATTTCCGGCTAATTTTAGGTCGCCGAAAGAATTCTCGGAGCTGCATGCTGCATTGATGGTAATGTGACTTTTTCAATACGAAAGATAAAAAGCCACTGTTAACCAGACGTATTCCTGAGGAAATGAACTATTGCCCCAGTCTCATAGTGGCCATTTAGTTCACAAACACAATCAATTGCACTGTCATCAACTGATACAACCTTTAAACCTCCTGGTCCCAAAATCCCTTAAGCTCTTCACCCTACCATGCAACAGCACCCACTGGGACACATGCAAACTCAGCTCTTCCGGATTGGACATCTAGGTTTCTGCTAGCATCTTCCATACCACCAAAGATTTGGCATGCAGTCCCAGCACCGTGGAACATTAGCAGGAAATTACCAGCCATTTATATTGGAGAGGGAATTTTCTGTGAATATGGTAACTGTTCTAACTAGGCTCTTTTACCATGCCTAGCCTACTGGTATCTGAATATTTGTGCTGTGCTCCTGCTATGTGTTTACTGTCCACAAATATTCTAGTAAACAAGCTTTTCTAGTGCACGTGCAGGTCAAAAGTAAATGTTATGCACAAATAGTCAGTGACCGTGAATCTTGAATTGCAGAACTAGAACCAACCACAATGCAAACGTTGCAGCTCAGAGAACTGTCCCCTCAAATATGCAATTTGAAATTTGTGCTGCTGTTAGTTAGGCCCTGCACACAAGTCATCTAATCTAGCAACAGAAATCATCGCAGGTGACCGATCAACCTGACAGGTCTTTGCTCAACTGATCAAAGGAGGGAATTCAAATATTCCCAATAAGCTATTTGCAAAGAATCTGCAGACCAAGACTTATGCATTGGAGAAATTGGTAAATTGTGTGGAATAAGGAATATAAAAGAGAATTTTCCAAACTGTTTGCAGAGGGTGAAACTCATACCATGCCATGCAGAGGAGCCAGCACAAACCCCATTGACTAAGGGTTTCATAGGAGTTGTTCTGACCCTCCATACAAGGTCAATTCCACCCATTATTTTCTCCAAATAACTCACCCAGATCACCTCATGGGGCCTTAACACAGTCAGATCCACAGGGGAAAAGCCAGGTGTTATAATTACATCCTACCAATTGGGGAAATCCTGGTGCTGCCTTGTTCTAGATATACCGACGGGAATTCCTCTCCAGATGGAGAAACCTGGATCTGGATGTCATCCTGTGTCCTGTGTTAGGCCCTGCCTTCACCCTGGGGTATCCTGGGAGACTCATTGGTAAGTTGCAGTGCTAGAAAGAACTGGCCTAAGGCATCCTGCAAAAATTGAACCAAACTGAACCTCTTTGGTGGGTCAGGAATCTTTGATTAACTCGTTCTCCCCTCTCCCCAGTTTTTGCCTGCATCTGAAAACTGTTCAAGCCATTAAATCTGAGTCTGGTTGGGTGTCTTCAGATCCAGGCCATTGTATAAAGAGAGAGGCTGTTTAGATCCCCAAATTGGGGAGAAATGGGTTCTGTGTTTGACGTGGATCAATTCTGATTTCTCTCACTGATTTTGCACTGTCAGGATCCTAGACCACTGGTTAGGTTCTTCCTCTCAGGGAACTCCAGATTTTATATTGTAATAGGATGGATGGTTGCTGTCAGGAAGTTCCAGGGGGCTGACAGCCATGCAGTCCCTGTTGGCTACAGATTTGATATACTGATATCAGAAGTAAGATTTGAACTCCCGAGAGTGCTAGATGCTCAAGGTGCGGCTGTTAAATTAGCTAGTGTAGGTGTGTGTCACTGCCTTGTCCTGGAGGCAGTGAGACTTGGGTACTTATGTAACATAGGCCCTGCACTGCTAACAGCCAAGAGTGATCCTCCTTTGGCTCAAGTGGCGGGTGTCTCTGCTTTTGGAGCAGGAGGAGCTGAGTTCTAGCCCTGCTGCTGCCAGGATAATCCTAGTGTGCAGTCACAGAGTCCTATATGGCCCCGGATTTATTACCATATTCTGTGCACATTTCCAGCTGCTGTTTCCTCTACCATGTTGTACAACGTCTTAAACTTCCCCGCGGGGGTTGTGCCGGTCACCACCGTTACGGAGGCTGATGAGGAAAATCTGAAGCATTACACAGGGCACTACGGTGACCCCTGGGATAGGAGACTGAGGCAGGTCAGTGATGAATCCCCATTGTTTTATGGCATAGGCAGGTTAGGGTTTGGGGCAGCGCGGCCTTCTTTCGACAGATCTTGCTATATCTCATCCTAGCAAACTGTCCAGGCCAGATGCAGATTTCACAGGTGAATGATTCCCTAGATCCATAGAGTCTACATGTTTCAGAGCAAGGGTGACTGTCCACCCTGGCGTGTATATAACAATCTATTATAACGATCAGGCTAGTGGGTATTTGTGCACCACTGCCCTCTACTGAATGGAATCAGAACTGCTCCATGGTGTGTCATTGGCTCTATATTGTTCATGGCGATTTTCCTTTAGCTCAAGCCGCAGGGAGCTATGTTTCTGGAGTAGGAAGATCGGAGTCCTGGCCTTGAGGTTGCGATGGAGTTCCGAGCGGCAACGGCGTACGTATAGTGACAGCCGGGGGATGTCTTAGGTGGCCATAGATGGTTCTAATATCCACAGACATGGATGCTGTCATACCGATCCCAATGAAGGGGCTTGTAGCAAGGCCCTGACTCACCGGCACGGTGCCTCCTGCTGGGCATCTGTGAATTAGCTCTCTCAGCCCTGGAGTGCCCTCCGATGGGCCGGTGTCTCACCCTCTGTTACATACCCGTCTCCAGTCCCTTTATCTCCACCGTGTATAGGCCCCACGTCCCTCCTGGACCACGGTGCCCCTTATCTTGAGGTGCTGCCCCTCACCCAGGAAACCCCACTCCCCTGAGCCCACCTCGCCTCAGTGGCCCACTGCTAGTCCTCATCTAGCCCCTTTACTCAGGGGCAAATGGCAGTCTGCAATGGCCACTCATCACTGGCTAGGGGGTTGGACCTGCTGCCTTTCCCTGCAGCCGGAGTACTTCCTTAGGCCTTCCTGTCAGGCCTCAGTCTGGGAGGTCACCAGGCCTGAGCTCCCCAGCTCAGCCTGCCCTTTCTCCAGCACTACTCTGTTGAAGATACCCTGTGCTCCTAGGCAGCCCTGTCCTTCCCACCCCAAGGCTGGAGTGAGACTTCCTGCCGCCTAGCTCACAGGCCTTTTTATACCAGCCCTACCGGGCCCGGACTGGCTGCTACCTGCCTTCGCCTGATTGGCTCCTCGGGGCAGCCCTTTCCCAGAGCTGGTATTAACCCCTTTCTCTCCGGAGCGGGGTGCTCGCCCCGCTATAGGGCTACTGAAAGATCACAGGGTGGTTGCTTTCTAGTTTATTGTCCCCTTGCGGGTTGGGGGTGTTGTACAGTAGACTCTGTCTCTCTCTTTGGTAGATAGGGCCCAATTCTGCTCTGCAGAGCAGAGAGGCTACCGACTAGATCCACTGCTACAGGGTCCCTGCTGGGCCAGGGAAAATTTCCCCGGGGTGGGCCAGGCCACTGTATCCTGGAGAGCACTCTAGTGGTTGACCACCTGTGCACAGCCAGGCCCACCTAGCTCATGGCTAGCTTTGCAGCTGTTGGCAAAATAACCTGCAACCCAACTCCCCTGGGGAACGTGGGTCACGGCCTAACGTATTGCCAGCCGCACTCTTGGCCACAGCGCAGTCAGCGGGTGTGATGGCAACACGTGAAGCTATACCCAAGGGAACTTTCCTTGAGCTAGCTCAGGCCTGGGAGCAGTGAAGCCATGGCAACGAATGCTCCAGCGTGGGATGTACAAGCCGGCCCAGAACCCTGGATAATTACTCGTCTACCCTGCTGCGGCTTCACTGCTCCTGAGCTAGCCAGATTAAAGCTGGCGGGGGTATGTCTGCAGGAGTTACCCTTAGTCCAATCTTGGGTCCAGTGGAAGGATCCTTCCCTTCTTCTTTCAGAAGAGGAGGCTCTATAGCAGGGGTGGCCAACCTGAGCCTGGGAAGGAGCCAGAATTTACCCAGTGTGCATTGCCAAAGAGCCACAGTAGTACGTCAGCAGGCCCCCATCAGCTCCCCACCCCCGCTCCCAGCACCTCCCACCCACCGGCAGCCTGGCCGATCAGCGCCTTCCACTCCCTCACGATCAGCTGTTTTGTGGCGTGCAGGAGGCTCTGGGCAGGGGGGAGGAGCGAGGGCATGGCAGGCTCAGGGGAGGGGGCGGGAAGGGGTGGAGTGGGGGCAGGGCCTGTGGCAGAGCCAGGGGTTGAGCAGTGAGCACCCCCGGCACATTGGAAAGTTGGCGCCTGTAGCTCCAGCCCCGGAGTCGGTGCCTATACAAGGAGCCGCCTGTTAACTTCTGAAGAGCCGCGTGTGGCTCCGGAGCCGCAGGTTGGCCACCCCTGCTCTATAGGTCCTGCTCCCCACAGCAGCACAGGTCCTTGAGTTTCCCTAATAATATTCCACGGCTTTTCTCTCCTCTGCAGGCTGTGGAAGGAGCCGTGGGGCTGCCCGTGGCGGTGCAGTGCGTGGCTCTGCCGTGGCAGGAGGAGCTGTGCCTTCGGTTCATGAAGGAGGTGGAGAGACTGGCCCAGGGGCAGAAAAAGCAAACTGAGGATAACTTGCAGAATGATGTGCATACAAAGGGACAAAGTGA